ACCATCGGATGTATGAAATAGTGGTACAGAACGACCTTCTTAAAGAGGAGAATGCTGTTACGACCTTTCTGGTACCCATATTACAAAAATTCGCCGTCGAGCGCCCGAGCGAGGGAAGGGAGGAGGGTATGCGGCGTCATGAAAGGAGGAGAATTAACAGCTGGGAAAAATTCCCCGGAAGCAAACGACGCCCTCGGAGGGGCTCGCACAACATTGAAGCACGCTGCCACATATGCATGCTTTTCCATCACATAGGGGCACAGTCCATGCTGATTGTATGGGCGGAGACAGCCAGCAATGTGCCTTCCTCATTGGCCATTTCTCCTTCACAAAACTTTCAGAGAGGTTGCACGAGCGAGCTCGTTTGCATGCTTTCGCTATTCTGACCTGGTCTCTCGCTTGGAATCCCTAACGTTCCTCTGCCACCACTCGGAATAAAAAGGTCCTTAGTTGAGGCACATTCGACGGATATCTTCTGCTTTTCCTTCACGTGCAAGTTATGTAGCACGCACACTTCTGTTTTTCAACCCCGCTCCCTGCGAACTTTTTGACGGCTTGTTGCAAAATCTACGTTTGATCGGTGGCACTCTTAGGCATTGTTCACAGTCTGCGACCCTGACCAAACTGCTAAAAGCAATAAATACGTATCGATCGGAGAATCGCCAACCGCTCTGGAGAAACGCCGCCGCGGTTCGGCGGTTCGGCGAAAAGCAATAGATGCGTATCGATTTCGCTGGCTCCGCCCTAGAGAAAAACGCCAGGGCGGTCGGCTAGCGTTTTTCGCCCAACCGCTCCGCCGAACCACCGTCGATACGTATCAAAAGTTTTTCGCCGAACCGTTCATTCGGGAGAAACGCAGGTTCGCAGACTGTGAACAATGCCTTATCATACCGTATCGGATTTTCCATTGGTTCTGATACCTAGTTCCATTTGCCTGAGGGCTATTTTAAGTCCACTTGGCTTGCCCAACTAAAAGGACTGCAGGGAGATCACCTGGCTTGCCGGCTAAAGGAACTGCAGCGGAATGATCTGTACAGAAGAAATTCACTCATCTCACTGACTGCACTACTGAATGATTTCCAAGCTTGTCGGTCTGCCAATACGTACTGAAATCTAATTTCGAAGCTCCGAAGATGTTTCCTAATGCACCTTGTACTAAAAACTAGGAATTTGAAATCGAAGAACTCTGAAGGACTTAGGGCACCTTTATAAATCCTTCCACGTTCTGCACATTTCAGATACATCTTTTATTGCTTTTTTGCAGCACATGCATTCAAAATCTACAGTTTCACCGACTATATTCTGTGATAATCTTTCAACAATGATAGACCTGTCTCGTCAGAGGCAAATCGATACTTATACAAGGACAGACTTATTATACAAGGACAGACTTATTTGTTGAGTAGTAGTTATGTACAAGACAGAGAAAACTCGTTTTCAGTTTTGATTTCAAGTTTCCAGAAGTGTTCGGATTCCTGCGGGAAATCAGCGGGCAGAATGTCTTTTCCTGATGTCCTGGTGACTGACGTCAACGATCTTCAACCGGAGTAGTTTCCCACCCGTTCCAAGCTGCTAACGGATCCATATTGTGCACTTCTTGGCATCCTTCCAAATCTGAATTTCCTGCCCTGGAAAAAAAAAAGTGCGTAGTTTTGAGTGGAAGTCACTGCAATAGAACGAAATCCAAGTCGCAGCTGAGGGATGTAGACAAGGAACTAACCGATTTCTTCGCTTGGCTCAGAGCTTGACGAAGACGATGAGAACGACCGATGGCTAGGAAACTCTGAAGAAAAGCGGCAAGAGGGACGATGCTCATCCTCCAACGATTCAGAATGAGCTCCGCCGGAACGGCGTCCAAGTCTGGCTGAAGGATCCGTACGCCACTCTTGAGCACTTGTGCCAGGGATCCCTGAAACGTAGCTAATTAGCGAAAGACGCGTAGAAAAAAGGGTAACGTGCCAACTATTTCACTCATCTGAACCCTAAACTCACCACAGCCACCGTCCACTGGCCGGACTCAAAGATACGACCCTACCTTCCATCCTACCCATCTTACAAACTTTTTCCTGCTTTCTCAAATTTTCCAATTGTCACCCAGAATTTGGCCGTTGCTTACCGACTTGGGGAAAATGATAGCACAGCACGTAAAAAAGGAAATAACCGAGGAAAACCACGAAACGTCAACAACCGGGAAACTTTTTTCGCGGATTGAAGAATTTTTGCCGGCCTAAATACGACTCCCTCCTCAAGTCCTCCCTCGACGATCGAATACGACCTTCCCCTGGGTTCTTCAACCCAGGGCTTGGGCTGAGTGTCAGCGCTTTCCAGACAGACTACGACTGAGAGATGTGGTCATGAAAGTGTAGTGTAGTAGTGGACGAAATGTAGTCTTGCCTACTTCAAAGCTATTTCAATTTTTTTTTATTTCGCTGCCTATTTCAAGGTCCAAGTAAAACGCACTTATCAGCGAAAAATTCTTGCAGTCAGCTACACTTTTTCCCATTTCATCGCTTTGAGACAACAGAGCGTTAAAGTAAATCTGGTACGTTTAAATACAAGGCGTACAGGCGTCGCATACCATTGGCAAGAAAGGAATATGCGTTTACCTGACGAGGCGCTGCTGCTCTTTTCCGATCGAAGGCCTCTATTTATAGCCGCCTAACCAAAGGGTGTAACAGCCTACCAGACGCATTACAAGCGCCGCCCACAAATGGCCCATAGTCAACTGGAATATCTTGAGAGAGTCCCCCACCCTTAGGGGAAAGGGTCTCCCGGACACCACTGGTGGGAACTCCTTAAGGGAAATCAAAACTTACCCAAAATGTCAGTCAGCTCTTTTCGTGCTTCATGTGAACTCCATTCTAATTTCTCACTTGACCGGAAGCGCTGAAAATGAGTGAATTTTCTACAAAAAAGGTTTTAAAGACTAACGTGAACCAAGTGGCATTTTCATTGATGATTCGCATTTCAGACGTGCGCGATACCCTTTTCTAGGGCCACTTTCTGCTAAAAGAAGAAGCCTTTTGGCCAAAACTGCCGTCTCAGTAAGAGGCTTTCTTGTACGTTTCTCGTTAGGGTGCAACGATCCTGGAGGAGAGGCTATAGTATTCTGCCACGTCTCGAGGAGGACAATCTGCTCCTACGAAATCGAAACGATTTATTTTTCCCGTGGAAGCCTAATGAATATTCCTCGGCTATTTTCCGACAACACTGTGAATACAAACCTTTCCTCCAAACCGTCGCGCTGGTACCGCTCGAGCGTGTTCGTGACGGTAAAACTGAACTTTCTTCCTGAGCAAGTCCGGGAGGATCTGCTGAATGAAGTTGACTGAAGCCGACAGGAAGGGCATAAAGTCCTGAAAGGTAGAAGTAAAGAATAGCACAGGCCACATTCATACTTCGTCGTCCTATTCGCCAGTCATTCCCATCACTGGCAGGGCACGACATGTCGTTGAGGAAAAATTTTTGCGAGATACCCTCCTCCCACGAAATTTCTTCAACTGGTACGACCTCCTGCCGTCCCCGTCTCCATCTGACCAGGTGTCTGCCTAATTCCTTCAAACTCTCTACCCTTTCCGGTGATTTTTGTTCGCGCAAAGTCCTCCACTTCCCCTTGAGAACTGTCATCGAGCAGGAAATATAACGAATGAGAAACAGGACAAAAGTCAACAACCAAAAACATTTTCTCAATTTTTCTCGACGCGGCTGCGAGCCCCCTCCCTCCAGCGACCAAAGGCGACACCGCCCCTCGCTGATTATCTCCAACGTGCAATATTCCCTGATTACTGGTGTGATCCTACAGGTGACAAACCTGCCCGGTCCTAGAAAACGCTCAGCACGGTCATATTCTAAATCAAAGTGTCTGCTACCGGTAGTGGACTTTGTCGCGCCCATCCACTGGAAATTCTTAACGGTAGGGTCGCACATGCCCGCTGGAGAGCAAAGGTAGGTTCCAATGGGTCAGAGACGTTTTTCGCCTGCTGATATCGCTCGCTTCACGCGCTGTATACCTACCCACCTCGCTCCCTTCGCTGCAAAATTTTGGGAAGATTCGCTGAGTGGTAGCTATTTTGTGAAAGCGGGTCGATGGAATTGTATTTGGAGGGTTGCAGGAGGCCGCACAACGTTTCCCCTGCCACCAGGCATGCGGCTATATTGTGTGAGATGCAGTTAATGATATATCCATGAATGAAGCCAAACTCCATTTGCTTAATAGTCAAAATGACTTTAAGAGACAGGGAACAGTCCTAGTGGAGCCTTGACGGGGCAATTCTTTGCCGCTGGAGAAAATTTCGCCACCACCTCGCCTCGGATTTCCCTTCTCTGATGCTACTTCTCCAGCTCTCCCTTCTTCGTCCTACTACCATGTCCCTAAATTTCCCAACTCCAACTTCCTACCACTTTTCCAGGTTACTCCGCAGTGCTCTCCAGGATCCGCAGTCTATCCTTCCCTCCTCACAGAGCCGTCCAGCGGGAGAGGGTTGGGGGGGTAAAGCAGAAATAGTACGTATGAAACCGAAAAAAATCACGAAAAGTCAGGCAACGTTATCAGAAAGGGAAAATACTCACCGATTCCCCAATAACTAGAGTCCATGAAACAAGAAAAATACTATCAGAAAAAATTTTTCAACTCAAGGACGACCCCCTGACCTGTTGGGGAATCCCCAACAGCGATGTGCCCTGATCTATACCGGGAAGTTCAGGGCACATCATTGGTTGGGGATTTTAGTCGAGTCTGTACGACCCCCCCCTTTTTTTTGGGGGTTGGTGCGACCCCCCCCCTTCCGCCATCTGTTTCTCCTCACGATCCCCATTCCCTACTTTCCCCAATTTTGCTGTTGAAGGAGGGGGGCACACAGTTCGCCTGAAGCAGGAAAATCACGGAAAGCCAACCACCACTCTTACAACGATAAAACGTGAATACGACCCCCTCCTCCTCCCAACAATGACCAAGTAAGACCCTCCTTTTGTTACAACGTCCGTGATGCTTGAGCCGAGAAAAATAATATCAATATAGATTTCTTTCCAGCTCAAATTACGACCCCTTCACTCTCCATGGCGGCCAAATACGCACCCCTTTTTTTGCGAATTCCCCGAAAACAATTGTGCCCTGCGGAGTACCCTCAATCAGGATATAGCACACTTGAAAAACTCAGGAAAGCCAGCAACACAAGGCATTTTTCCTCAAAGGCAAATTCTACTCCTCTTCGTCCCTCTGGCCACCAGGACCCTGTTCCGCAAGGTTCCTCCACCGTACAAGTGCCTTGCCCCTTGCGGAACAACCGTACACTATATAAAATTAGGTATTGCAATATTTTTACTTACCATAAAAATGATGCACAGCAAGCGATTAGAAATAGTGCATCAGCCAATAATCCATTTAGTAGTATTAGCTACGAAAAGTAAAGGACTGTTCCGGTCTTCATTAGCCCTATCGCCACCCTACCCCTCCCCCGCCAATTTCTTCTCCCGCACGATCGTTTTCCTAGTCGATCGGGAGTGATCTCTGAACTTGTTTCCATTAATGTAACTGTAACTTATTAATCATCAAAATAATGATATCTCTGTCTTCAGAGCTGAACGGGTTGCGGGCAGGCACGGCATGATAAACACCAATAGGGTAGATGATCAGAGAGGAAAAGGCATCGGTGAGAGGCTTGTCAACGATCGCGTATTGGTTCCGATGGTCAAGGAGAGCCCTCTGGGGCTATAAAAGGGCATCAACGCTTCAGGTGGCATTCTTGTGACTAATTTACCTGAGTTTTGACTTTTACCTACAAGTCTTCATGTTGAACTTCTATCTCTCCCTTTTCCTCTCAAGGTCGTGTTCTCGGTGGGTGGTCTGTTCGGTTTTGGTGATGCTGTCTTTTCAGATCGAAGGGATGAAACTAATTTTATCTGTACTATTGATTTCATTAGCATTAACATCGGCCACTAGTAAGTCTGCTCTATACCTAGTTGTCAGGTCTTCCCTTTTATTCCCTTCCGTTTCAGAATATGGTGTCGGAGACCGGGCTCCGTCTCGCCTTCATTTCGAGCCCAAGATCGAGCCAGTTCCAGAAGAGTCCGAAGATTGAACCAGTGCGAGAGGAGGCTCTTGTAGCAGCTTCAGAAGCAGACATGAATAAGGCCGTTGAGAAGCTCGCAGCTCTGGCTGAGGATCTGAAGGCAACGAAATACGCGCCACCAGTCGAACCGCCAAAGGAAGCCAGTGCAAGATGTACCGGCTACAGCTCGCTACGAAAAGGCGGGGCTCCACCGACCACGGTTCGCAAGACTTCAAGTTAGTCGCTTACCGTTTCAAAAAAGTTGGCTGAGTTTCAAGAAATGCTTTTAGGTATGTGTTGAACGAGAAGGCTGCTGAGGCGTATTGGAAAACATTATGTTACCGCAGTTTCATGACCCATGTGCGCCACCAACCTGCCTGAGGGATTATCCCTTGCAGTGATTTCCACTATGATCACCAGCACCACCACCAGCTGAAGATGTTCCAACTGAAGCTTCAGCCACCAACCGAGGAGCTTACCACAATGCCCCCACCAGCTTATGCTCCACCTGTGGAACTGCCAACTGAAGCTCCCACTGAGCCACCAACCGAGGAGCCCACGACTCTTCCACCAGTAGAGGAAACCACCCTGCCCATCTACGCTCCACCAGCACAGGACGTTCCCACTGAGGCTCCGTTCGTGCCACCTGTGGAGGAAGCCTACAACTATGCCACCACCAGTCTACGCTCCACCTGTGGAGGAACTCCCCACTGAGGCTCCTACTGAGCCACCAACCGAAGAGCCCACTCTTCCACCAGTTGAGCCGACAGCCCTTCCAGTATACGCTCCACCAGCAGAGGACGTTCCCACTGAGGCTCCGTTCGTGCCACCTGTGCAAGAACCTACAACTATGCCACCACCAGTCTACGCTCCACCTGTGGAGCTCCCCACTGAGGCTCCTACTGAGCCACCAACCGAAGAGCCCACTCTTCCACCAGTTGAGCCGACAGCCCTTCCAGTATACGCTCCACCAGCAGAGGACGTTCCCACTGAGGCTCCGTTCGTGCCACCTGTGGAGGAGCCTACAACTATGCCACCACCAGTCTACGCTCCACCTGTGGAACTGCCCACTGAAGCTCCCACTGAGCCACCAACCGAAGAGCCTACGACTCTGCCGCCAGTAGAAGCAACCACTCTGCCCGTCTACGCTCCACCAGCAGAGGTCCCCACTGAGGCTCCGTTCGTGCCACCTGTCGAAGAACCCACCACTCTGCCACCGGTAGAGACTACTGCTGCTCCAGCCGAAGACGTTCCAGTGAATCCTTACGCCCCTCCAGTTGAAGAGAAGCTCACCACCCTTCCACCAGTACCAGTCACGCCGGAATACGTTCCACCTGCAGCACCAGTGGTGAGTTTCCTTCCTTCGCTTGATACTCTGACCTTGTTTAATCAGAATGTTTCAGGTCCAAGACGTACCTGTGACAACTGCTCCTCCACCACCACCACCGACAACTATCAAGTTCGTAACCCTTTTCACTACTTTACTCTCAAGAGGCATTGATATTGGTGCTTGTTTAGGTACGTGCTAAACCATGAAGCCGCTGAGAAGTATTGGGCAACTGCGACGTTCCCCACAACGACGAAAGCTCCAGTGGTTGTTCAGCCACCCCAAGATGTTCCAGTCGGCTACGCACCTCCGCCGGCGCCAGTACCAATTCCTGCGCTTGAAGACATTGTGATTCCGAAACCGAAGGAGGTGGAGAAGCCCATACACCAATCGCGCCTCCACTCCCTCTTCATGTTAAGCCAGTTGTTCCGAAGCCGATGCCTAAGCCCATTCTTGATGAGCCATTGAAACCCCACGGGTATTAAACACCGCGGTGACCGTTTACTCTTCGATCCCAATCTTGACCTTACCTTACTGCGAATATCTAAACGAATCTCAGCCGGTGTACAGATGTGGTGTTTTATTGTGATTCTGTGATAGATAGAAGAGATTTACCGAAATAAAGCCTTTTACTATTTCAACAGTTGTAGCACACATTCGAAAGTCACCATAAGAGAAGCACACGGCATACCACTCATAGTAGATACAGAAACAAAATATAAAGCTTGGAGTTGTCAGAAAAGCTTTAAACGACTGATTTTTTTTTAGGATTTGATCTCAGAAGGGGTGGGGCGGGACAAGTCAAACCGGTCCTTCACATTCCTCAAATTATTCAAAGAAAAACAAATGGGAGCGGAAGGGAAGGGAGTCCGGCGTCCGTCAGACATGGGCATATTCAGCAGACACATGGGCCGGATTTAGTGCAGAACCTCTGATTCTGATTTTAATGGCTATCAGTGGAGCCTGTTGAAGGTTTTAACAAAGTCAAGCGTGGGACTGTTTCTGGGGTCAGGTGTACCCACCATTTTATCACCGAATCGCAATCGCAAATTCCACATAGCCTGGCCTAGGTTCGGTTCCAGAAGTTCTGCGATAGACGGCTAACGCTTTCCACAATAATTAATTCGACCGGGAAGTTCTCTGACAGTCCAGATTATTTTAGAGATACGCGAACAGTTTTTGCATATTTTGGCGCATGATTACTGTAGGATCTGATCAAAGTTCTGCCAGAACAATATGTAAAAGGTCCATGTTTGGAAATAAACAGTGTCGGGCGTTTCTTTTGAATATCGAGGAACATCTCGTTGAAAACCTCATACCTTTCCAGGCTCGCTCTTTTAGCCATTGGCGCGCCATCTTTTGGGCCTGCTGCACCGGCCGTGGTTTTCTGGAAGAAACAAATGGCACGGCGCTATCTCAATAAGCGCCTTGGGGGGGGGGCATCCCTGCAAGCGGCTTGCCATTCCGAGCTTATGACTAGAATCATGTACAAGTGAATGGACCGGCAATCGTGTATCACAGTGCAAATCCTGGCAGACCCTGTCAAGTACCCTGTCAACTCCTGTGAAACCCTGCTAACGCGATGTGACAAGATAATCGTAATGCGCCACGCTGGTGGGCGTGGCGAGCGACGCCAAGCCCGACGGACGAGTTGTACTGCATGTATGATATGGGTGTCATGACAGCACGATACGCTGCGCGTGACGACGCGCATATCACCATTGTCTTCTCCGCCTTGCATGTAGCGTATATAACGGATATTTTGGGGCAGTTGTCAAGTTTTACCATCCCGACAAGTTTCACAGGAGTCTACAGGGCGCTCCAGAGGTGAGAACAAGACCGGCAGTGTGCTGAAAAGGTTGACCGGTGTTCACATGTCTACTTTAAACAGGATTTGGCTTCCAACAAGCGCTCACAGGTGTGCCCCCCCCCAAGTATTATTAGCGCCGGGATTTATGTACAATGTGCACCAATGGGAACCGAATTTCTAACCGTAGCTTTAACAAAACGAAAGCCTGAGGAGAACAGACAACACCATTGAGAGAAAAGACCTAGTGAGAAGGGGAAATCGTCTATGTACAAACGTGAATTTAACAAGTGTTTCATGGCATATACAATTGAGATCAATAAGATCTGCAGACAGTCACAAAATATTTGATATATGAGAAGTATAAATAAAGTTGTAGACATGGTCATCGTCATTGTCATTGCAAGAACACACGGGACATGTGGGGGAGTCAGTGAAAAGCTCAACACCGGAACACCGAAAAATATTTACAAATAAATACAAGTAACAGACAGCCTTCTGCCTGTAGTCCAAAAGCTCTAGCGCCCGCTTGGAAGACATCAGTCATGGAATAAAAGCCCGGGAATCAAAACGGGAACTATATGTACAGTATGGGAATACCCCTGGGAGTATCAAATTACCAATGCTGGAAATAGTGAATGTCCTGCACGTTGGGGAACACCTTTTTGAAGACATTCTCGTAGGTGACCAATGAATTGAAGATGTTTGGCTTGTCGACTACCTCACCCAGTTCGATGTGATCGATTTGACGGACCTAGACTAATCAATAAGATCGATCGATAATCACTGAAAGGAGCTATTTGATCACTTACTTTGCCAACCATATAATCCGGCTGTGGTGGAATGTATGGTCCACGCATCATCGTCAGGCGAAGGCTTTTCACTTGGCAACGATCCAGGAATGTCTAAAAATGCCATTTAACGCTTGTTTTTTTCATTTTGTTGAACTTTCTACGAGACATAAATTTCAAAATTAAGAATATTATAAGATAACATTATTGCCTTAGGCGGAGGTGTGTATCAACAAGTGACGCAGTTACCACTCGCGCGGTCCCGGGTTCGAATCCCGGGTCGACTCCCGCCCAGGCCAACCAAGCCTTCTACCCTCCGGGGACGGTAAATTGGTACCAGATTCGTCTGGGAGGATAAAACACTGACTTGTACATCGGCTGGCCACCGCAAGTCATTGTATAGGCCACATCGCATTCAATAAGCCACCACTGAATGGAAGTAGAATGCGTGCTGCATCCCACAAGATCTGATCCATCCTATCCTTCCCCATGTTTCGGAGGAGCTCCGAAAATTATCACAAGAACGTCGAGTTGTTAGCAAAATTCGAAGCTCAAGCGGAATTCGAACCTGCGCCTCGGGCTTTTCGGAGTGAGTGCACTATTCGCTATGTCACCAAAGGTGTCTCTTGCCCTCTCACATTGATGCTACCCTCGATGGAGCGACGGATAGCGTACTCGTTCGAGGGTTTGGATCCCGTTTAACGTAAATACTTTTGCCCATGACCAAATGCCTGCGATGACTTTCGGGAGGTGATATTAGGTGATATATAATAATTAGGTGATATATAATAATTAAGAAGGTACAGTAGTTTATTGAGTTGGACGAGTTGCCCTGCCTCGAAACTGCTTCGAATGGCGCCTTGTCGCACACCAATGGCAAAGAGATTGCGTAAGACGATATACACCCCACTAAAGAGCTTTATCCGCAACCTTTTCCTAGCCAAGCATTCCTCATGAAAAAACACCCCCTTCCCTTTCTCTATCGCTTTCCAAAATAATTTTCTATCTACAAGTCAACATCACATCACTCATGTACCACGGTGAACCTTTCACCCAAGACTACGGAAGATAGCAGGGGTTGCAGCTGATTTCGCCCAATTTGATGTCCTGAAGTCACGCGCAGTTTGATAAGATTATTAATATTAAGCCGATTTGCCAGACAGTGACATTCTAATTCAGCCATGTAGCATTCCATAGGTTGAGTCGTGATGGGTGGTTGTTGTTCTTTGGTACTGACGACAGCACAGCTTCGAGACCAGGGCACGCCATCGTTGTGATGATCACAACGGGGGGGGGTCGTATTTGACCGCGAGGGAGGGGGGTCGTATTTGGTCTGAGAAAATTTTTTGGTAGTTGATTTCTCTTGTTTCACGGACGGTATAAAAGGGGGGGGGTCGTATTTGGCCGTTGTTGAGAGAGGGACTGCCAAAGATCTATACAACTACTATTTCCGATAGTTGAAAATGATAGTTAAATCCTGACGACCTCCCCCCCCCCGCTCGACAGCAAAATTTTGGGGAAAAACCAGAAGGAAATTTCGGAAAAACTGGTAGGAGGTTAGGGAAAATCTGAGAAATTTTCCTGTTTCACATTGGGTATATACCTCCTCCCCCGCTCGACGGAAAATTATTGTCTGAACAAACTGGAAGTTTTTTGGGGAAAAAATGGAAGAAGTTGTAGGAATTTGGAGAAACTAGCATGGGGAGGGGGTCTATTTGAGGATAGAATTAGGGGGTCGTATTTTTCAGGAAATGATCACAACGCGATAGCGTACGACCCCCTGTTCAAGACTATTGTTAGTGTATGCATTTTTTTCTGCATATTCGTTCCTCAACATCGAGCCCACGATAACTGAATGGGCGGAGAAGGGACAGAGCGCCTTCTCATTGGTGAGCCCTTCCTTTCAGTACGTTAAAGATAGAAGGTTCCACAAGCCATAACGGTTCCGAATCCCCTGCTCGTTCCCTTTGCCGTGGAATATTTTTCTAATGCCGATGAGCATCATCAAATATCTCGAATCTTCCCTGTGAAGAAGTGTTTGGCTCGGGTTGATCGCTAGAAGTTATGCCAAAGGCGCACAGGATCAGATAACTGCTTTGTAAACCATAATTTTGGGATTTATTTATAGGAAAAATTACTTCGAAGAACCTTGGAGCCTTCTCACCTGTACAACATCATCTGTGGGATCGAAACCGACGAAGCTGGTATAGGATAGGTGTCTGAATGTGGCTCCACTTCTGGCTATTTCCAGAAAATGGTCACAGATGGCCGTCTGTGATGCATCGAGTCCCAGATCGAACATCATCAACGAGAGGCGCTCCAGATGTATCTGAAAGCAGAGGGATAGATGTAGCCCTACGGTCGTGCCCTCCGGTGCTTCAATGGCGCTTTGAGCGTCGAAGCCATGAGGAAGTGCTCAGGAAAACCTGCTTGCCATCTTGTTCTTTGGATTTAAGAGCTGCCACTTTCGGATGGACAAAGTAAGAGTAGAAAAAGGGAAACACCCGCTATCTTCCATAGATCTAATCTCCCTTTCGAACTAGACCCCGCTTCATCACCTTCATCATCCGCCTGTAAAACACCTTACATGGCTGTCACTCATTTTTGCACCTTAGCTTCCTCCCTCACTGAGGCGGAGATGATGAAGAAGAGGAAAGTGACCAGCCCACGTACCACGTGCACGGTCCAGGGGTAAAATGCCAGGATGGCTCCCGCCTAGGCCACCTAGCTCCTGCATCCTCGTGGCCAGCAACCAGTACCAGGTTCGTCTAAGGGTAAAAATGCTGGCTTGTACATTATTCGACCCCTAGAGGTCATTAAAGGATGAAAGAACAAGTTCCCGCCGTCAATCGATCCGTTTTTGGGATGCGCCACGCATTCTGCTTCCATTGGAACCGTCAAGGGTTACTGAATGCGATGTGGTTTGTACAACAACCCGCGGGGCCATCCGATGTACAAGTCAGTGTTTTATCCTCCCAGACGAATCTGGTACCAATTTACCGTCCCCGGAGGGTAGAAGGCTTGGTTGGCCTGGGCGGGAGTCGACCCAGGATTCGATCTCCGGGCCGCGAGCGTGGAAACGTGGCACTTGCCACTACTGCACTTCCGCCTTTCCAAAAATGCGCCAATGCATTCACAAAAGAGCGATTCTGAATGAAAGCTGATTGCGTGGCGCATCCCAGAAAGGATCGATAAATGTCCAAATCTCTATCCTTTGACCGTTTCAGTTGGAGGGGACCATCTCACTGATCTAGAGAGCGGTGTAAATAGAAGTCGATTGGTTGTATGAACTTTAACTCACTGAAGAATTCAAAGCCCCAGCTTCAGAAAGCCCAATCCGACCGACAATTCGAAGCGTGGACGCATTCGCTGCGATCAGCTCGGAGATCTGAACATTTAAAGTCATTTATCGCTTCACAAATGAAAATCTTGTCCAAGTGGGAGGGCATGTTCACCTTCGGTATTGCTTGGCCACCCTTGCGTCGTCTAAGTCGCAGAACTTCCAGCTTTACGTTTTCTGAAACAACAAAAAAGTTCAGCGAAACCTAGAGATGAGACCAAAATGATGACGAACCTGCTTGTATGAGTTGATCGAGTAGCTCGTTGAAAATTGTGAGATCAGAATCTTCAATATTCAGAGAAACTGCTCTGATTTCTTTCATTTTACTAATAAGGAACGTCATAAGCTCTTTTGCCGCAGCTGGGGTCACACGGGAGCCCTTAATCGGATTATTTTATTCCCCTTTCAAGTTCAAAAATTACTCACAGTAGTTCCTTACCTGGATGTATATTACGGGTTCAGGTACCGGTAGTTTCTCCTTTTTCAAGCCATTGATCCGAAATTCGATTGGAGCTCGAATATCCACTCGAATGTGGCTGTGATTGATCAGGGATCGTTCGATACCATACGCGGCCCATGGTGAAAGCGACTGAAAAACCTTATTCAAACCGGAGCCTATAAAAATTTCACAATATGAACGACAACCCGTACACTTGCCTCCGAGGACGGTCCTTGTGCGAGGTGAATGGGCCCGCAGTAGCGTGCCACTTTCTTCGTTTGAAAGGCACGGAGACGGGGCTGCAAGGTGGAGATATCCCAGCACTGACTTGATACTCTCCCCGCGCTATTCTCAGACGCAGCACTTGCGTCGATACCAACTTTCCGCAACGAAACACGTACTCAGCCTTAGTGAGCAACCAGAAGTGAGAGGGCGCAGACAAGTAGCGAAATTGGCTATGGCTAGGTGCCTGGCTGGCCGCACGGCAGCGCGAGGCGGAGTGTAGAGTCGGTACCGGAGTTGCATTACGCTTCAACCCCATATTCCATGCACTTTTAGGCTGCGTTCATACTTTTGCGGCAGCGTCCACCAACGTCTACCAACGTCCACTAGCGTTTTGAGTGTCCGGCAGCACCAGCGACCGGGAAAGTATAGAAATCGATCTAGCATCTACCAGCGTGCACCAGCGTCTCCCAGACACTGGTGCACACTGGTAGATGCTTGCGATTTGCGCACCAGTATCAACCAGCCTCCGGGAGAGGAGAGTTACGCCCGTTCGATTAGGAAGCGTAGCAGACAGCTGGTAGAGTATGGGGAGATAGGAAGGTGACAGACTAAAGACTACTAGAGAGTATGGCGCGATAGGAGGGTACCACCTGCCCGCTACAATCCTTCGCCGACCATCCTTTTCTCCCAGACGCCAATAGACGCTGGTGCACGCTGGCAGAGGCTAGCAGACGCTAGATAGATGTCTATACTTTCCAAGTCGCTGACGCTGCCGGGCGCTCGAAACGCTAGTGGACGCTGGTGAACGCTGGCGCAAACTATGAACGCAGCCTGAGCGGAGAATGTGGCCAGCTACTGCAGTCGCGGACCCATTCTCTCCTCAAATGGCAACGACCTGGGTCCATGATGGTGAGTGTACGGTTTGTCTTTAGAAAAGTATCATACCGATAGCTTAACGACGTCGCGTATATTTGTAATTGCGCCCACTTTCTCGAAGATGTTAGTAAGAACGTCGACATCGAGGCTGATACCAGTATGGGAGCATGATGGGAGTACAGCCGAAAGATCCCTGGAAATTTTAAGGGTATTCCACTGTATCAGAAGATAAATGAGCGTCACTCACGTTTCAGCTTGTACTGATGATGTCGACATGAATGAGTAAGCGCAGTTAGATCTGAAACATCGAACCCGTAGATTGAAAGCGCGATACGAACCCCGAAGCAAATGATGCAATATCGAAAAGCATGGGCATGAAACGGCTGGACGATGACGAGTACAAAAAACCTTCCAGGCTAATGACGTCATTGAGCATCATCAATCAAGCGGAAATCGGAAATAGAAAAAAAGTTTTTCCTAGTCAAAGAGGCAATATTGCTGAGGGAAAAAAACAGACAAACAACATTTTTGTTTTGAAAGACCTATTCATTCCTATTCAGCTACGACCGCTCGCCCGAAAATCAGACTTCTTCAAACCTTCTTTTAAAGAGACTTCCACCCACGCCCCTTTCGAACGGACTTTCCACCCACCCCCTCCCCCCCCGAAAAAAATTTTGTCATTTTGTCATTTTCCATAGTCCACTAATTTTTATTTCCGGTGATTTTGCTTCAAGAAAGTTCTGCACGAAAGGAAATAATTGCTTTCGAATGAATAGACCCACTGGACCACCCTCGCCCACCACCGGGATGAGTGATGAAGTTGCTGATGCCGGCTCGCGGAATTCGATGATCAATTGGATGGCAGGCGGCTTATCCCAGGGCGCTAGTAACCTTGGAAGGGCATTCGAAACCCCTTGCAAAGCTGGGATGAACGTCATCCGAACAGATTCACTGTTCATGAAATCGGTACACCCACCAAGGAGTTTCATCCCCTTTAGGCTTGGGCAGAAGCCTCTATCACAGTAAGCCTCGCTTTACGCGAAGTATTCTATAGATTTCCAATGCTCCCCCCACCTACGTTACTAGCTAATATCTCAGTATACTATCGAAGGTAGGCGATTTTGACACAAGCTGTTGAAGAAACAGCGACTCTTGCTACCCATTAAGTCACCAGCCCCCCCCCCTCTCCTCTCATTCTCATTCAATGAAAGATCGAGGAGATGCAGATTCCCAGGAGGACCGGGAGGAAGAAAAGGGACAGGAGGAGATGAGTTGCACAGAATGCTGAGAGATGAAAACCCTCCACTCTCCGTACCGATCAAACTGGCCAGGTGGTGGGTTTTGGAGAAGATGTTCGTCAAAGAGGTCGCACGACTGGAACCATGAATTACTCGCCAAATTGTTGCTTTACACTCCTTAGTCCTTCAACTTTTGGCACTGCAAGAACATCAGTAATAAG